TCTACAGTATATATATAAACCTCCTGAGCCTGCAGTGCCCAATTAGCATCCAACCTACTTAGTATCCTACTATTATTATTCCTAACATGTCCTAGATTTGTAATTCTGCCTTTAGTTTCTGCGATGGTCCTTTGATGAAGTTTTCGCATACCTCTTTCCTGGGCTTCATTCTTATTAACGGAGGGCTTATTTTTAATTTACTGTCCTGTGTGCCCTAGTACTCAGACAAGTGTAATTTTATAGTTATCCTCAATGTCTGACCATCCCAAACGACTCTGGACTTTACCACCGATGCGGTGAATTTAGTGTCGCCTGGCTGTCCGAGAGCTTCTTTTGTTAAGATACCCAGCCTTTCAATATCCATGGCACAGTGTTCAACAGCCACTCGAATTAAGAAAACCGAACCCTAACCTTAAAGGACCTTAAGCTAATTTGTAGCTCCTTTTAGTAACACATTTGTAAGCTAATAGGGGTAATCACGATGTTTGTAAAATGTTAAGTCGTGTTAACTCGAATAGAGAAATGACCAGTAAGATCGTGAACGCCCCCTTCGTTTCTTAGCATGCTAAACGTTAATTTTTCCGCAATGCTGCGCGTGGCGACTGGTAAAACCAAAAATAAAGCTATAAACTTGAAGGCTTGTTGTTCTTTTTTTTTTGTTATTTGTAAGATGCCAGAAGTGAATAAAAAAAGGAAAATTTATCAACTCTCATTCAAAATCCTATCTATGCACTCGAAAAGTCCTAACAAAAGGCACAATTTCTTGGCCATAACGGACTGCGGTGAGGTTCTTTGAAAATATGGAGCCAATTCGTAATCTAGTGTAAATCCCAGTCCAGACAATTACACCGCCTCCCCTAAACTGCACTGAAACGCAGAGCCCGAACTGGGGCATCGTACGCATCCCCTGTTCTCGGTAGACTCTTCGGCGCCTGCTATCACTATACCAATAGAAACGCGACTCATCAGAATTCCAATTGGTGTTCTCTTCTAGGCGCTTGCTGCACCATATTCTCCTGAGTTGGTGGTGGCAAGCTGTTTCTGCAAGTCGTCTCGATGTGATGCCGACTTCACACATTGATAAAGGCCTTGCCAAAACATCTTTTATTTCATTTAGGATCTGGCGGGCACTGTGGAAAGGGTTCCGTCTTGTAGCATTGACAATACTTCTATCCTCCCTTGGCGTCGTAATGCGCTGAGATCCACTACCAGGCCACCTATTGGCACATCGAGTCTCTCGGAATGGGGCTAAAGTCTAGGAGACCACACTCTGAGAAACGCCAACTGCCTCTGCGATATCCACTTGTCGGTGATCTCGATGGTTCATTCTCACAACTGGTGAACTGGTTCGAGATGTAATCTTTCCATGGTTAAAGAGAATACAACTTGATTAAAATGGTGAAAAGACGCGAAAAGGTGTTTGTTTACAAAATGAGCATTCTTCATGTTTACGATTCTTAAGTAAACTTTTTATTAAAAATGAGGTTTAACATTTGTTTGTTTTTGGATTTCATTTTCTGTTTTGTTTTATCCAACTATCAAGAATATATCGATTAATTTGGCCTACCTACTTTGTATCGTAACATCTAACAGCTTACAATTTTATAGGATATGGGATATATCTATTATGAATGAATATAAGGACAGGTCAGCAATTAACAAAAGAAATGTATTGGTCTGATTTAATTAAGAATAAAAATACGTGTAAACAAAAAACAGCTGTTAATTTCATGGCTGCCATGTTGGTTACCTACGCCCTAACGGATAGCAATGTGACTACATTTTCGACCTAACATCTAACATTGGCCCTGTTAGATCGCGCAACGTTAACTAGCCGATTCTTACAACTCTACATCATCATTTTTCTCGATCTAACACGACCTAATAGAATTAACAGGGTTATCACAAAGACAGTGAATACCCCTATTATCAGCTCGTGCCAGTTTAATTTGTGCTGTAAGTTCCGATTTGTTCACTAAAAAATTTTTAAATTGATATAAGTATGGTTTAAGTATAAAGTGTGGTTGACGTGAAAAATTAGTTTCTTGCGAGAGACTCGAACCACACTTAGCTTAAAAATTATAAATCAATTTGAATCTTTCTTTTGGTTAACTAGGATCACTAAAAACCATATAGATTAATACTTAACACGGTTGGCACAGTTTGCACGAATATCCTTATTATATTGGTGGTACTACAAATTGTGGTTCAACACTTGCCAGCAGGAGGAATTGGTTTGGGACATACACTGTAATCGTAGAAGAGATTCAAATACTGAAACCCTGCGTAGTATTATGTACACCCCGGCATCTACTTCTACATCCTTATTATTTGCTTAAAAGTGCCTTGTCCAAAATTATTTGATGTAATTGAATTCATCCTGCTTTGGCCACCTTTTTGATTCTTAGTTTTTCTCTCTAACTCATTGATTCCTTTGGGATTCATTTGTGGCTTCAATTCTAAGCAAATAACGTGCGGTAAGTAAACCAGATCCTAATCTTAAAGGAGCTTAGGGATTAGCACACCGATTGACAGATGGAAGAAGGTGCTGGTTTTAATACTTTAATACAATGACATTTAAAATCACCAGGGTACTATTCCATTTCTTGTAGAAGTTTGTGTAAGCAGCAATATTTTCTTCATGAATGGATTTTCGACAGTCTGATTAAATGAACTCACAAGAGATGGTTTAATACAGCCGCCGTTAGAAATCTTTTGAAGTCGTTAAACTGATCATATGTCCCAATGTTTTCCGCTATTATGTGAAAAAATGTCATCAAGGCGGTAAAAGAAAAAGTTTCGATATTACTTTACCGAGAAAAATGAAGAGATGTAATTTATCAGGTCGAGTCTTTCGTTTCTCCCCAACTCGTGTAGAGTCCTGAGGGATGTTCCCGGATGGGCGAGGGTTTCCGGGGGAAGGGGAGCGGATCCTTGGTGGAGTCATCTTCTTGTAATTACAGTCTCCCCACTGGGGAAACAGGCTCCTTCTGTTTTTCCCTGGGTGCGTCAGCTTGCTCCCGAACATTTGTCACGGCCGGCAATAATTGCCGGATGATACACGGTCCAGGCGCGGTCGGAAAAATGACCCCGAGGCCGCCGCATTGCTCCCTACAAGCACGCCCACTTTTATTGGAAGGAAAATAAATCAGTTCCCGTTTTAACACGGGGTTTACTACAGCCAAAAACAATCCAACTTCCTTTTCGGACAATCTGCGACCCCTGAAGAGCTAAGAAATATGATCATTTACCATCATTTAAACTACTGATGATGTTCTCTGCACCTTTGGGCCGTTTAAGATATTTTACTTATCAATTATATTATTCAAAATTCAATAATACATATACAAAACGTGTGTCTGTGATATTCTCTCTTGTCCTTGATACGGTGATGTACCTATGTATAATCCTGTTTTCATAATTCCTCAGTTCCTACAATCCTCCATCATTTGTATGTACAATCGTAAACGTCTAGGTGATCCTTAAATGTAATTTTGTAGATTTTCATACAAATTTAGGCTTTATTTGGGAAATAACTAACACTGGTTTAAAAAAATTCGTTTGAATTTAAAGAAAACATTTAATAGTCGAAATAGGGAGTTCTTGAAATAATTTTAAGTTCATATCACAAGGGTCAATATTCGCTCCATTGTACATAATTTTTACTTCTGATATGCCTACAAATGAGAATGCACCACATACGCAGATGACACCGCCATATTAACAAGTCATCACTCTTCTACACAAGCTCCGGTTATGTTACCAAACCCTCATATCAACAATTCAAAAATGGAGCAATCTTTGGAAAATAAAATTTAACCCCTCAGACACAATTACTTTTACACTACTTGAGACTTGTCCTAGCATATACTTATACAATGAACTGTTAACTATTTAGGGCTTACATTTGATAGAAGTTTAACTCGGAATCACACACACGAATAAAAAAACACACACTCAACAATCGATTTAAGATGCTTTATTACCTACTTAACTGACAATTAAAATTACTATTAAATAAAACTATTATATTTCGTGGTCCGATTGACCAAATAACTTCTTTCAATTAATTAATCTTTATGTAAGGCATTGGTTGAAATGAAAAAGTTAGTGTCACGAGCGGGATTCGAACCCACGACCTTTGGCTCAATACTCCGTTGCTCTAACCACTTGAGCTATCGTGAAAAATGGCAAAAAGGAGGGAAAATTCGAAATGCAGGTTGAGATGGGAAATTGGTGTCCGAGTGGATCGAAGTCACGTTAGCTCAAGTGGTTAGAGCAGCGTATTGAGCCGAAGGTCGTGGGTTCAAATCCCGCTCGTGACACTTAACTTTTTCATTTGAACCAATACCTTACATAAAGATTAATTAATTAAATAAAACTTTCGACATACACATACCTCCTCAAACTTATTTGAATGTACGGGTGCCAAGTTTATGGATTGGCCAAATATTCCAATATTCAAAGATTACAAAGTTGTCAATCCAAAATTTTAAGATTAATTGGTTCTGCCCTTTTTACAATAACACACTTCAATGAGATCTTCACATGACAATAGATATTTCATCTATCCAGACATATTACAGACGTTTCCATATTACAAAAACACACCAACATCCAAATACGATTACTCCATTCCCCACCATTACTACATAAGCGACCGAAAAGAATATGGATAAGAGACCTCTTAAATGTTTTATTATTTGTAATAAATTGTTTTATTAATCCAGAGCGGGTGCCAATGGCAGATTTCTCTATAACGCCCGTAATACCACGATCATAAATTGAAATACAATCTGATGGTTGTATATAATATATGTACAGTAGTAGATAAAAATAAATTAAATCGAAAAAAGTTCATATCTCTGTTTAAAATTTTGAAAGTAAATATAAAGTTTTTGATTATAAGAACTTCCCGTACCCAATAATTTAAAAAACTTTTCTTTTTGGTGATACTTCGTGGGTTTTTGAGACTCTGCAGTGAATTGAACATGTGTCCGAAAGCCGGTCCAAACTGGGCTTTTGAATTGAATTTTCGTGTCGCGATTGTTGAACAACTTTTTGACTAAAAAAAGGGCACCAATTTTGCACAAATGGAGGCTCGATGCCGATGGAAAGAAGGCTTCTGCACACTTTCTATTGTTTAGTTACATATGTCTGAAATTGTTTCTTTACCTTACGAAAGAATTTTATATCTTTTTTATAACGTTCGGCTCGACCTCCAACTCACATGTGTTGAAAAAAAAAAAAATCAAAATGACCCAAAAATAATTTTCAAACCTTTCCCGGCGTCTTGTAAAGGGACTTGTAAAGAAAGATGGGAGATAAAGAGAAGGGAACAAAGGAAGGGATTTCGTCAGGCGGCGGAGGAGCCGCGAGCAACAACCCATTTAAGAAATTAAAGAACTTTTTTACGCATTTCATGAAAGAAAACAAAGAAAATAAAAATGAGAAGAATATCGCACAAAGACTTAGAGAGAAGACTAATCTTACCAAAAAATTAGGTTTTGTTGTGCCTAAAAGTTCTAAACGGTGAGTCCTAATGATATAAAGAGCGCGAGTAAAATAAATCATATTGTCAATTAATTGTTTACTCTTGAAAATTAAAGTGAATTATGTGTCAGGGAGTGTGGGAATTGTATTTGGCGCGGTGTAAATGGACGCACTAAAAACGGCATGGCGTTTTAGCGGCGTTTGAACTTGTGAGTGTTTTAAACGGCGTGCTCCAATTTAATACCGTATTTCTTGACGTTGTTCTTCATTGCTTCTTCGCAAGAGCCTAACAAACGTTCGAAAGCATCCGTCTCCAGAAAAGCAGTGGTCACGTTTCCCTTCGCCACAGCCGTTGCCGCTCTTGTACCCTTCGTCAAGAGTGCCAGCTCGCCGAAGTAGCCACCACGCTCTACTATCTTCAGTGGTACCTGCTTGCCGTTGACGGTCTTGTGGATGAAGACCTGGCCAGAGAGGACGAAGTACATGCCGTCGGCTTGTTCGTTTTCTTTCATTATGACCTGGCCGTCGCTGAACATTCTCGGCAACAGAGCGTCGGCCAAGTTGAGCCTTTCCAGCTCGGTGAGGTGGCTTAAGATCTTCACGTTTTTAAGACATTCTTCGTACAGCTTTCTGTTTTTGTGTGCAGCTTTGACTAATATCCTCGTGAAAGTTTTCCTGTCCAGTGCCCAGACGATGCCGTCGGTGTCCGCCTTGACGGATGCCGCCCTGGGCATGCTGTACAAAAGTGCCAGCTCGCCGAAGCTTCCGTAACCGTCGTAAGTGCGAATTGTGTTCGCATTGCCGGAGGAATTCGTCACGAAGGCTTCGTATTTCCCTTTTTCTACGATATAAAAGTAATCACCTTCATCGCCTTGCTTGATGATATAGTCGCCCGCTTTCACGTTCTTCAGAAAGAAAGCATCCAAGATTTGATGCATCTGGTCCTTGTCTAAGTTCTGCATAAAAACTATATTTTTCAAATGTCCTTCTAAAACAGCCCTTTGGGCATCCGACTTGGGGTGCTTGACGATATCTGCATGAGTGTCATGTTCGGGGTTGTAAGTCTCCCCCGCGACGGCTTTTCTCCTCGGCGCATTTTTATGCATGCTGACGCTGTCCGCGGAATTCGCCGAACGCGCACCCGATTCCCGCACCGACATGGCTAGTCGAATAAATAATGTTTTCTTGGTAATTTTGTCCTGGAATTTTTACATTCTACAATCAGTGTTCATCTGTCTCATTGTTGTTACCTATATTTTTTTAAAGCTCATTAATTTTTTTTGTAACCTGAAATAAACATATGGTTTTGATACAGGGACACATTAAAAATAAATTTAAAAACGAATTCGAGATAGCCAACTTATTTAATCAACGTCCTGCAGGTATGGAGCACGAGTACTGGTTCCCAGAGTATAACGGAAAAAACTGAAATACATGAGCAGAACGTACCGGAAATTTCATGTCTAACGCCTGAACACCGAAAAGGTGGTTAAACCAAGCTTACGACCCAAACGAAAAACAAAAATTTAAACAGAAAATCGACTTCAAGTATAAATCAAACAACGTGTCTCAACAGCTGAACTCCGTCCAAGTCTCAATAGGATCAGACATTCAGAGCAATATAAATTTATCCACTCAATTAAACTGTTTATTTTATAAAATAAGTGTAAAATATATTAAATGAATCCATTATATTTCGTGGTCCGATTGATCAAATAACTTCTTTCAATTAATTAATCTTTATGTAAGCTATTGGTCGAAATGAAGTCACGATAGCTCAAATGGTTAGAGCAGCGGCATATTGAGCCGAAGGTCGTGGGTTCGAATCCCGCTCGTGACACTAACTTTTTCATTTCGACTAATACCTTGCATAAAGATTAATTAATTGAAATAAGATATTAAATAAAGTTCGACAATCTTTCTTTCTACGATTTCTTGCTGATATCTGCATGATTCATCCGTCACAGTCGGTTGTCTTTAAAGCACTAAAAAAGATATGAATAATAAAAGAACACGATGTGTAAAAAACAAAGAGATGGTGGTTTCCGCTGAAATTAATAAAACACGTGATGAAGTATTACTTTTGTCCCTACTTGATTAAATGCTTTACTCTTTCATTTTTAGATATATCAGTGGAATAAAACATCCAAATTCAAAATATAGTTAAATTCCTATTTTGTGGAATACATGCCTGGATGGGCGGACAGTGATGATTAGAATGAATTTTGCCTGTTCTCGCTCGATTATCAGAAGCATTTTCTTTCCTCAGTTTTAGTTTCATATTCAAACCACAGGCTTTAAGACCGAGGGTAGGTTTGGAGCTTTTACCAAATAAACCAAGGGCTAGAATAAACTTTCGGTAATATGTCAGTGTCTTTCAGGGCACCGTGCTAGAACAAAAGGCTCAGTGCATCATCATAGCCTTCTGCTCAGACAGCCAGGTGACTTGAAGGCGACTAATCGGTATTAAAGTCCAGGGCCGTTTGGGATTGCATTATGGACTGTCAGACATCTCGGAAAAGAAAATAGGACTTTTCTTCTGGTCCACCACATGTTCCTCAACCAAGGTAGAGGCTAAGTAAAGTTCGATGAGGACACCTGTTTGGAGTTTTCCAAATTGGCAAAAACGTAAATCCATCAGACAATGGGTTAGGAATAAGTCCACGGCTCAATGGGATTGTATTTCAGGACAAAACAAAAGCATTCGAGAAAGTTCATCAAAGTACCATTGTAGAAACCAGTGAAAAATTAACGAAAAACTGCTAAACCTGGGATATGTCAGGACTAGAATAGTAATAGGGCTGCAAATTCCGGATATATAAACAGCAGAAACAAGCCTGTAAGATAATGTCAGATGTTGACAAACCAAGAACTGAAAGAAAACTCTTTCTCTAAGATTATCTATTTGTTTTGGGGATGAGGAACATGTGGTCAGGTCAACTTCGATTACCCTCGTTTATTATCTTGCCATTTTTTAATATATTGCCATCTTCAGTGATGGGTTCATCATCAGCCAAATGGTAATATGCCGAAAAGCTTCTGGCAAGTAAAACCAGTGAGACCGGGATGATGAGAAAAGATATAAACTTGACGTACCTCGGTGTTACGCTTCGTTTTATACTTTATCGCGGATATCTATAGGTAAGTGTTGTTGAAGGATCCGTTTAGAATAATAAAGAACACCATAACGTTTTTGTCCCGGCTTGAACCGATGCTCCGGAAACAATCTGCCTGCTAATTCGTTTGACAGATGATACCTCCTTTACGGCCCAATAACAGCTGAGGTTAAACGTCCCTCGTTAAGCCGCCTCGGTTTTATAGTCTTTTAAAAACGAAGCTACGAGTATCACATTCCTCTTTCGTCACCGTTTATGATTTACGGACGATTGATGGGCCGTTTCAGGCTGTCGAGTGCAAAAAAATCAATAGCCACAACGGGTCGTTTTTTCTTTCAATAAACGGCAGAAGCGTTTTCGTCGAGATCAATGTAGTGTCAGCTTGCCCTCAAACTGTGTTTCCCTAAAGAGAAAGGGTTAAATGAAAGAGAAAAGCGGGGTGGAACAGGCTTTTAATTAAATTCATAAACTCGTCTTTAAAAGGGCTGTTCCGGGGGCGGGGGGGAGTTGTTATCATTAGGAGAACGCGCTGTTAACTCCAGCCCAGCCACCCTCTGAGGGTGGAGGACGTTCCCTGCATACCTTAACCGCCCGCCGGATCCACAACCATTGTCGTACCCTTAATCTAACGGCCAATTACGGAGCGATAACTTTAACTATTAACCACTATCAAGATCACTTTCGAGGCCGACTGATAGGATTATCATTTTTTACAAATCAACTAAATAATTATCTTTTACCGCTTGAAAACCTATGGCATAAAAGAGATCTAAAACAGCTGTTAAATGCAATCGTTTTTATTAAATCAAATAAAAATAAGTCACATATTTCGATATAAAGGCTGTTTATTTATCGCACGGTCTTGTTAATTAATGATAATTTATTGTAATAAAAAGTTTAATAAATAACAAAATATTACAAAATCGAAATACTGAAAACTATCAAATTATTCAAAAGTACAAATCATAACCTAATCTGACCTTACAACTTAACCAAAGAAATCAAGAAATGTTTAACTCGTCCGGTTGAGTGAATTTTAATTGCTTACACAATTTTTAGTACTTTTTTTAAAAACTAAAATTATAATTTTCGACCTTTTATTAAATTCGCAGCAATCCTAATCGTTTCATTTCAATTTAAAAAAAATGATGTAATTTGTAATCAATTGTTTAAATTATCCGGCAACTTACATCGGTATTACATCGGAATATCTGGATGGAGAGAGTAAAACAACATATCTATGATTGCAAAAAACCCAATCAAAATTCTACAGGCTACCCAACATTTTGAACACCAACACAATTTCGACTTTAACAATCCAAACATATTACACACAGGACAAAACAAACATAAATGTAACTTTTTAGAAATGGTTTACATCAACAGAGATAAACACAGCACCAATTACAGAACAGATACATGTAAACTCAGTCGCAGCTACACTAATAAAATTAATCAAATTCAATATCAATGAAAAACTTATAACACATAAAACATACAATACAACTTGAAAGGCTAACTAGGCCCGAACGATAAACCATTATCCCTATTTTCCATTCGGTCCCTTTCACCTCACATTCCTCATAGAAAAATGAATTTCTATCCCTACTTCCTTGCTACTCTTTGAAAATTAAACATAAACAAAAAACATCTCACCAACACTAACAAACACAACACACAACAATGGAATTTGCATTTACATTTCCATGCCATTCATTCACGGCCTGTCACATAAATTAAACACATTTCTCTCTTCCGATAACTTTAAAATAGCTTTCAAAAACTATAAAACAATTCACACACTTTTTTCCAAAATTAAAGATCCCACACCAGTAACAAAGAAATCAGACGTAATTTACAAAATACAAAAACAAACATAAACGTAACTTTTTAGAAATGATTAATTAAGGTTTTTAGTTGAGATGAAAAAAAGTCAATGGCACGAGCGGGATTTGAACCTACGATCTTCGGCTAGTACGCCGCTGCTCTACCACTTGAGCTATCGTGACCTCGATCCACTCGGACATCAACTTCCTATCTCAACCCCACCTTATGAGTTTTCATCTCAACTAAAAACCTTAGGTAATTGTAATGTATTAATTGGTCAAGCTGACCACGAAATTATTGAATTTTTATAAATGGTTTACATCAACAGAGATAAACACAGCATCAATTACAGAACAGATACATGTAAACTCAGTCACAGCTAAGCCAATATCATTAATAAAATTCCATATTGATAACACATATATCATCATGACATCACACAAAACATATAATATAACATATAAAACAATCATTACATTCCACACATCAAACTTTTCTACATAGTCTAATTCTTCAACAATTTGGCTTTCTTTTCCCTAATTATCCCCGTATATATAATCCTGAGTGGATAATCATGGCGAACCATTACCATTTTTTCCCATTGTCAGCTCCTTTCACCTCAAAGAAGCCGACTCCTCATGTAAAAATTTCTTTCTATCCCGACTTCCTTCCACACCCCTTCAAAATCCAACGTATATAGACTTGAAACATCTCACTGGCACTCTCAACACGACAGACAAGACTGACACATCTACACAGAAAACAAACACTTTGAGTAAGTACAAATACCTTGATCTAAAATTTCTAGCATTGTATAAATTCATTTTTTTCCACATCCTACATGAATTTGTATAATTTAAACAATGTTTATAAATCCCAGGCCCTGAAGATGTTCTCAATAAAGATCGAAACGTTGGCATGATAAAGAAAATGTTTGTCTAAAATCTACGTCTCACCAGACCGCATCTCACGATCTCCAAATAATCAATAAAAATAGCATCTGCATATAATTATTTTGCAATAATATATCATTTCGTCGGGTCAACTGCGTTAGAGTTCTTTTTAAAAAGTTTTGGTCGATGATCTGTTTTTTCATTTTTCTTAACGTGCAGTGTAAACGTTTATTGATTAAAAAAAGCAAGTTTATTGAGCGTATGTGCACGAGGAAATATACATTGTTACGTTTCGGTATGAATAAGAAAAAAGTTATCCTTTGGCATTTTGGCCTATTGGAGTACCGGGCAAAAATTCAGAAACCGAATCGAGTACGAGTTGATGGTTGTTGGTCTGCGATTAATTCTACCCTTAATACTTTTACAATTAAGATTTTTGGAAGTCTGCGCAGTGATAAACCTTCAATCTTACTTCTTCGATTATCCTGATATGCCATCTGACTGTTATTTTGTTGATAGTGAATTGTTGGAATTTTGATGATGGTAAAATGCCCAGACGCGTCTGGTATAACTGGGAAAACAGGCGGACTAAGCAGGATTGGAAGTCGTTAAAGATGTAAAATAAAACGTTTCAATTTCCTTTGTGTATTAAATGCCAAAAATCCGTCAGGCATCGAACAATAGGTCCGGGACTCAACAGACCTTGAGGAAAAGTCTCACAAAAGTTACCGAATTGGAATTATATAAAAGTAGGCGGAAGAATAATTTTTTTCGTACTCATTTCTCAGATTATTTAAAATCAA